AGCAGCAGCAGCAGCAGCATCTGGCTTTGAAGTTGCCACGAAATCGAAAATGCGCTTTTGTTGTTATCTTAAGCCCGTTAAGTTGACAGGCTGTGAAGTGCCTGATTCGCATATAATTTTGTATTTTTATTTTTTTTTATATTATTTTCTGATCTCGACTGCCCTATAATATTTCAACACCCGATTGACGGGCAGCGCAAGCAGACACTTCCTGCTTGCAGACGATGCCCAAATCATATAGCTGCCAGTGCCGCTTTGAAGAAGTTGCAACAACAACAAAAATATGCACACCAAAGCTGCCAAAGAACAGCAACAACAACAGCTGAATTTGGCATGCCATCATCTGTATAAAGAGTTGAGAGGGGGGCGGGGGGCAGAGAGCAGGGTGCAGGAGTTCGTCTGCCTTTGCATTCCGGCCATGCAACAAGCATGACAGCCTAGACCTGATCTATTTTGGTCACGCTGCGCCCCGCCCGTGCCCCTGCCCCAGCGCCAGCTGCGCCAGCGACATGCAAAAATATACATGCCATATTACATATGTCTGCATGTGTGTGTGTGTGTGTGTGTGTATTGCTCCTGCTGCCGCAAAACAAACAATTTGTAGGTGTGGCTGCGCCCTGGCTTTGGCCATTGCCGCTTCTGCTTCTGCTGCTGCTTCTGCTTCTGCTGCTGGTGGTGCCATTCTCTTGACGGCCGTTCTGGTAGATGAAGCGGAAATGTGACGTTGACTGCAATAAATTCACTCGCTTTGTTTGTGCAAAAGTTCAAAGAATTGCAGCGGTAGGCGATTTGCAGATGCTTTTCATTGGAATGCCAAATGGAAATGCATTTCAGTGTTAAAAATAAATTATGATAGCAAATAATCAAAAGGAAAAAACTGATCTCAGTTTTAGTCAAAGTTCAAATGGAGTGTATTTTTCAAAGTTGTATTTTTGTTCTTGTTAACATTCTCTGCTGCTAAGCTACAGCTAGCATTCTGTTATGTTAATTTCAGCCAAGCATTTTCTTCCGCGCAATCAACGTAACATGGTTCATTGTTAACATTGCTGCGTAAGTTATGTTTCTTAACATTGCCTTATGTAAGCTGAACAGCCCTTTTTAACATTATTCACCACTGCCTACATAATGTTATTAGGCATTGCCTTAGGGCAGCTAAGCAGTCCTTTTTAACATATGTTCATTTTTCCCTTTAGTTAAGTTCTGCTAATTTTATCTTCTTGTGCGTATTGTTATTTAACATTGCCAAATTCTCCTGTTAATCTAGCTACTCGCTGTCTATTTCTCGTTACGCTTGGCGTAACTGAATTATGTAAATGGAAAACTTTGATTTTTTTCACACTCATATTTCATAATGTATTACACATTATTTTTTGGGCCAAACCAATCCAAGCCCAAATTGAACAAATGAGTTTCAATGCATTTCCCACAAAGCATTGGTCACAAAGCCCTCAAGAAGCCGTCAGGGACGCGAATATCAAATTGATTCGCCAAATTAACGGCCTTCTGTCGAAACGTTTTCTCATGCTGCTTACGCGGCGTATGTGTAATTAAAATTTGCGCCAGCGGCGCTTTTGACCAGGTGTGGCCCTTTTGCCAACATATTAATTATTGTTAGAGCCAAACAAAAATTCCAAAAAAAAAAAAAATAAATAACAACCAAAATCTCCCAATAGACAAAGTACAAAAATAGCAAAAATAAATTCAACAAATTTATAAACTGGGCGTCGGCGCACTTTTTATACCCCACAGGCCAGCGGCCAACAAGTTGTCTCTGTTTTCATTTTATATTTCTATAATTTATTAAGAAAACACGCCAAATGCATGTGCGGCAGTGTGTATCTACCTTTCCCTCTCTGTCTCCAACTGCGACTCTGTCTCTGTTTGTGCAACGCCTTTGTGCGCCTTTGCATGCGTAATTTGTATTGCGCCGTCGTGGTGGTCCCAACGGCCCCGTCATCGTCATCGTCGCTATCCCCGTCCCTGTTCCGATCCGGGTGCGACGGCACCCGCACTGAATAATTGGCATAGGCTGGGCGCCACACGATACCGGCAGCGGACCGACAGCGGATCGACAGCGGACCGGGTCCGGGTCCGGGACAGGGATTCGGATTTGGATACGGATGTGTGTATTTTTGTATATGCATATATCTATATCTGCATCTGCATATATGCTAATGCCACCGCATGTCGGCTTGATTACTAACAGAGCGCGCCGAAATGCGTACAAATACCCTGTAATTCAGTTGCAAAGGCACAGCTGAATCAACATGCAAAGCATGTTCTTAGATATGTTTGCAATTATTAAGAACTTCTAGTTATACATACCACAATTTCAAGTAAATGAACAGGTTTGCAAAGTTCTAGCTAATCAAATGCCTGCAGGGTATCTCTCTCGCCGTTCACTTTCACTTTTACCCAATACATAGACGCACATACATATGTATTCTGACTTTTTGCGGACCGCACGACTGTAATTTAGTTTTCAACATCAAAGGCGTGGGAATGTTGCAAAAACCCGCACAGAATAACACAATGATAAATGCGTCTGTTTTGTGAGCCCAAATTCTGAAAGGATTCAGACAAATCCTCGACAAAAACAAAAAAAAAAAACTTGCCATATTTATGGGTTGCGCCAAAAAAAACTAAAACAAAAAATGCCGCCAATGGAACGGAAATTTGTCGCCGCAGCAAATTGAAAACAGCGAAGCGATCCACTAACAAAAATTTGCTGACTTGACTCTGAAAGCCAAAATGGGCAAAAATTCTAACAAAAAGAGAGAAAAATCTAAAAATACATTTCAAAAGAACAAAAATCGAACTGGGGCTGGGGCTGGGGCTGAGGCTGCTTTTGGAGGCGATGCCAGCGATGCCAGCGATGCCAGCGATGCCGTCGATGACAATGACAAGCGGCGTCCGAGCGACGCGCGCATTTGGGTCAATGACGACGAAACCGAAGCGGCGACTATGCTCCATGATTTAGAACCCAGCGTTGAAGATCGACAACAACAACAGCAACAACAGAAACAACAACAACAACCACAACCACTGCCTGGCCTGGCCTGGAATTGGCGGTCAATCAAGCAGAAAATGTTGCACGAGAAGCATCATTTTAGCATGTGGCGACAGCGGCTTATACAATGTTGCCCCCCCCCCCCCCGCATAACCCCTCCCGCAACCCACCCTACCCCCAATCCATACACTGCCAAGCCGAAACTGACTGTGGGGAAGTTGTTGTTGTTGTTGTTGTTGATACTCGTTTACCGTGCGGAAATGGGTGTATTCAATTGAATAATAAGTGTTTGACTAAATTAAACGTCTTTTTATCTTTTTAACAAAATTAACAGAAATTTTCTTCCATTAAAACGAAAAACGATTCAAGGCCATTTTCAAAGTTGCCATACAATTAAAAGTATTTTTTATATAATTTACAAAAGTTAACTAAACACAAAATAAATTTCCTCCAAATCAAAAAATCAAAGGTCCACAAATATAAGCTCTTAGATTATTATTTTTTTATAAATTGCCATAAAATGAAAAGTACTTGTATATCTTATATTTTTTGGATTATATTATATATTTTGATTTTAAAATTCAATCAATCTATCTCTGGAAGATAAGCTTCTGCAGCTCTCGAGCTCTTCTAAAAACATAAAAATATTTTGCCAAACAAATGTTATCTCTTCATAAATGTGAGGAATAGTCTTCAGCTCTGAGCGAGTATTGTGCAGTCGGTTACAGCCGGTTGCCACATTCTTATTTGTTGTTGTTGTTGTTTTTGTTGTTGTTGTTGCTGGCATTTGCTGTGTGTGGCGATGATCATTTTGTTCAATCGATTGTAAACGATGCGTTGCGATCGTTGCTCTGCGGCTTTGATCAAATGACAAAATTGATCATTTTCTGTTTGAATGGATTTTGGAGCAGTCTCAAAGCGCACAGCGCCTCCCCCCTCTCCAGACCCCCTGCCAGCCACCCCTCGCGCTGCCTGGCCGCACAACAATTGATTTATGTTGGCTGTTGTCTCTGCTGTGTGGGGTCTGTGGCATGTGCAACAACAGCAACAACAACAGCCACGTTGTGTGTTACCTATAAAATATCAGAGCTTTTGTGTTGAGTCAAAAGGTGCTATAAATCAAGCCAAATGTGAGCGCACCTCTTAAATTTTTGTTCGCTGGCTTTTGAGTGAACGTTTTGACCATTTTCCGCACTCTGGCTCTGGCAAATTAACAACAATGCGAAAAACATTTTCGCGTCATAACAATTAATAGCGAGCAAGGATCGCAGTCGACCCGCCGCAGACCCGAAGGTCTCTCTCTCTCCCTCTCCCTCTCGCTCTCGCTCTCGCTCTCCCTCTCGCTCTTCCTCTAAACTCTGTTGCAAGTCTCTTGAGTTTTATTTTGTTGATGTTTTTTTTTTCGGGTTTATTTTTTTTCTGCGAGTTGCAAGTTCGATTTCACATTCCCGTAGGGGTGAAATCTTTTGCGGGTTTTTCTTTCTGAATTTTTGTACGTCGCGTTTATGTTTTTTGTTGTTTTTCTTGAGCCGAAAACGCTGTGGGTAATAACCAAAAATTAGCAAAAATTGCTAAAGTTTGACTTGCATGATTTATCTATAATTTTGCATCGCAAGTCGCCACTCGCCGCATTGCGAGCTGGGGCAGTCCGGCCACACTCGCCATCTGATAGGCCCACAGTCAAGCACACATACACACACACACACAGCGAGGGGGAGTAGGAGAGGCAGGTAGACCCCAACTACATCTGACAGCCTGGGCCAATTTTTTAGTGCGCTTTTCAGCCTAAGCGATTTTCAGTTTTCTGTTTTCTGTTTTTGTCGGTTTCGGTTTCCTTTTTGCAGCTTAACACTTGCGGGTGTTGTTGTCTACATAATTTGACTGTAGCTGCTGCCTTTTGGGCCGCAACCGAACCGGCAAACATGTAATCGTCGTAATAATAAAAATTTGCAAATGATTTCGTTACTCAATCTCCGATCTCTCGTTACAGTCCTGGTTATGGCATGCCGGCTGGCCGCTGGCCACATCCAATGGAGCGCTCGTACTGCAGCTGAGCGACTCTGAAATCGCGCACGCACTTCAACCAGCCGAGCTCTATCTGTGTGTCAAATTGGGTAAGTGGGTCGGCACTCAACAAGCCATCAATATACTCAACAAATTACCAGAATTGGAGAGAACCTCAATTGTGCATGCACGTCCTAGAACGTATTCCAATGCAACCTCTTTAAACTTAACATATTGATACCCTTGAAAAGAAAGTTGGTTTTCTTCACTTTAGAAAATTGCCAGAACTTCTTTATTTCAGTAAATTTAAAAGCATACATTTATAGCAAATATTTTCTAAAATTTAGGCAACACTTATTTGGAGCGTAGTGCTCCTGACTTGTAAAATAGAAAAGATTTCCATACAAAAACACATTTAAGGACTTAATGTTTCTATATGTTAAAAAATTCCGACATGGATAAGGGTTAGCTTATATGTTAGAAGTATGCTAAGACTTGTCATATCCGAACTTGGTCAAGATATCTTTAATAACAGGAAAGATTTTCATACAAGAACTTAATTATCGGTCGAACAATCTTATTCCAGCTCTAGGATATAGTCCGACATAAGTACAAAATGGAACTATGCTAAGTCTGGTAGCGATACTTTGAAAGCTGAGAGACTCATTTGACTCATTTCATAATAAGCTGTTATTTTATAGATTAGTTTAGGAATGCAGTAAAAGTTTATAAAAGAACAGAGACAATTTGAAGCTTTTATCCTGCTGATGTCAAGCTTTCGATAAAGTATGGCTTAAATGCAAAGAAGCTGAGGAACTTTCCATTATTGCTAAGTAAAGGCTGACGAGGTATTGAAGCCATACTTTATTGAGAGCTACATATGCTCCAAAATATTCTCTATTCGTATTAGTTCCTAACTCGCTCTGAATTTTATATCCACCTACAAATCCTTCCCCAAAGCAGACAACAGTCTGACAGCCTGCTTCAGTCTAACCCAAGTTAACTCATATTACAAAATACTTCCATTTTACTAATAAATCCATGTCTTTGCATTCATATTTTCTGTTTAAATTTGCAGATTCTGACGCAGAGGCCACACCGCAGCTTTATGTTGTTTGGCGCTCGTCCCAGCAGCAGCAGCAGCAGCAGGAGCACGAGGGGAGTCAGGGACAGAGTAACTGCCTACATATCGATTACAATAATTCGCAACAACAGACACTGAGCGTGCTTCAGCTAGAGATGTCTATGGCGGCAATGGCAGCAACAGGACACGCACAGAGTCCGGGCCAGGGCCAGGGGCAGGCTAACGATGGCATCGAGTTGCCGCAGCTGCTGCAGAATTTGCTTGTGAGCGTGGAGCGCAGCATTGAGCGCGTGTCGCTAAACGAGCTGCAGATGCCGCTCGCCCTGGGCGAGGACCAGCTCGATGAGGCCAACAACAACAACAACAGCAACAGCAATAGCAACAACATTGGGTCGCCAAAGTGCGCGCTGAGACGCAGCGATTTAATTACCAAAAACAAACTGTTCAACAATCGTTACATGCTCCGGCGCCTGACCAATCGGCAGGACAGCATGAACTCCACCTCGTCGGGCAACAGCAATGCCAGCGAGCGCAGCAGCTCAAGCGGCAGCAGCAGCGCCGGCGAGGAGCTCCACAACCACTTGAATATCAACAACAACAGCAACAACAACAACAACAACAGCACGGAGCTTGTGGCATCCACATCGCCCGCCTTGCCGCTGTTTTGTCTGGGCAACTCATTTCCGCACATTGACAGCGACGAGGAGGCAAGCGATGCGGCAACCGGCGGTGAGAAGCGTCAAGCGCTGGGTAAGTGCATGCACAATAACTAAAAGATACGTATACGTAATGCTGCATTACGCATACGCCGCGCGGGCCAACCAGTTGTGGCCCGTATGCTTGCCCCAGTTGCACTTGCTGCAACTTGCAACTTGCGGCCTGCTACGCTTATCTCAATTGCTGGGCGGTGTTTGGCTTATTTGTTTTTGCCGCCGGAGCACACACAAAGCGAAAAAAAAAAACGTTTATGCAGTCCGCAATTGTGCTATGCAAATCGAACCGCCCCGTCGCGCCCCCCCAACAGCAGAAATACTGAAAAAAATATTCAATTAAACGCCCCGCAGCCAAAGTTGAGCTCATTTTAATACCCTGTATTCAATAAAAATTGGGCTAAGAGGGCTTAACAGTTTTGTGCAAGTGCATGTAACAGGCAGAAGAAAGCGTCTCCCATTCCTTAAACATATACATATATTCTTGATCAAGATGAGGAGCTGCGTCGATCTAGCCAGGTCCATCATTTTGTCATTTGTCGTTTTCCTCGATATATCTTTAATTTTCATAATATCTATGGATATAGAATGTGTGGCATGATTTTTTATAAGAGCTAGATACACCACACTTCGTATGTAGGTTCTTGATAAGTATCACATTAAAGCCCTGCAATATTCCGATCGGATCATAAACACCGAGTTAATCAAGAATATGTTCCCAAACGTAGTGTGATGTTAAGGTAAGAAGAAGCACAGCATACATTCATAAGAGTTTGTGTGTATGAAAGGAAGCTGGCATATTTGTCAGGGTATCTCGTAGTCAGGCAGTCCCCAACTAGAGCACTTGGTTTTTTGTGATCCAAAACGGCGCTTTGAAGTCAAACTCGGGCTGGTTTAATAACACGATTTGATATCGCTCGCAAATTTAGCGTTAATTTGATATATTTTCAGCGCATAAATTTGCCAGCATTTAATTCAATTAATCGCGCTGCGATTGTAGATTTTCGTACAGAATTCTAGTGAAAGTGTGTTTCAGCTATTTGTACTATGCTAAATCTTTCGCATTTGTAGCTTTCGCTGGTTTTTGTACTTTGACTAGAAATCGAAATTGCGAAAGTGTGATAAGAAACAAGTATAGCGAATGTTTGCGAATGTCTGCATAATGAGCTGTAAGATTTGGATCTTAACTAATTATTGATGTAAAGTCTAGAGAAGTTTATACCAAGGCAACAAATATGATAAGTCATGGATAGAGATCGATTCTGAGAGTGTTCGATTTTTTGTACGCTTTCATTAAGTGTAGCTGATTCCCAATCTTAAGTATTTCATGTTTAATTTTCACTGCAGATATATTAATATGAAGACAATTCGTATATTTATCACATTGTACATTTTTATTTTCATATATTCTTCTAATATATATTTAATTATTCCGAAAGCTAAGTTTAAGTTTTCTTAAATAAGTAACAATCAGCAGCCAATGCAAATATCCTAAAAGCTATTACTTGAGCACACTTGCTTTAGACGAATTGAAATACTTACTACTTACATTAACTACTTCGTAGAACCTACACTTTTATCCTTATGTCAACGTAGAGAGAGAGAAAGAGAGGGAGAGACAGAGAGAGAGAGAAAAAAAAAAACTAAAACTGGCTGTGATTTGGGTTTTCCGGCAGCTGTGAGATGTGCTTTAAAACCGAGTGGGAGTGCACTAGTCAACAGCTGACCGGAGCCTGCCTCATGCTCAATGGAGTATTGACGGTAAATTTGCTCGACACATAAATATATGGTATATGTTGATAATTTAGCTGGGCTGTTGCCACAGTGCAGTATCTCTACCTTGGTTCGCTATTCCAATTTGTGTACGTGCTCTGCAAGCTGGGCACCGACTATGAGTTTGGCACCCTGTACGTGCTCTTGTCCTGGGTGGAGGGCATATGCATATTGCTGCTGCTCGTCGACTTGTGCTGGGTATGCTGCAAAATGGGCAACCTCCTGCTGGCGGTAAGTCGATAGACGCACACACTCAGCCAGCGCAGAGTCGTCAATCGTATTCCTGCTCGCAGGCGATCATTCCTGCTTATACGATGGGCTTCTTCCTGCTGATCGCCGGGAGCATGAGTGTGGTGAAGTATACCGATGTCTATGTGGTTGTGCGCAGTTTTTATACAGACAATTTGATGACCTACGAGAGCATCTACCAATGCTGCGGCATTGATGGCCCCAAGAGCTATGGCAATGCCAATACGACCTGGAATGTGCCGCCCTCCTGCTATCGCAACCAGGACGAGAAACCGGAGAATCTCTATCAGCGTGGCTGTCTCTATGCGACCCAGGACCATTGGTTCTGGTTTGTTTTCGCCAATTGCTATTGGTTTGCCTTTGTTCTGTTCACGGTCAATCTCATTACGCACTGGAAACTAAATCGATGTCTAAGGGCAAGAGCGAGGCGGCGTATTCCATAGGCCATATCACAATATAGAACAGAATTTAACCAGATTATACATTGTTGTGTATCGTTGTTTCAATATCTTGTTGTTGACCAGCTTTGAATTGCAGTTTCCATTGCAACCACGGTTAGCTGGGGGGACTAGAATGCGTTGCCAACGCCCACGGCTCGACCACAAAAGCCAACAAAAAGCCATTAGCCATTAACAACGGCGGCCCACAGCATCCGCCGGGCGTTGGTTAACCACAAAATATCGTTGTCTCTACGACAACAAAAACAACAGCAGCAGCTGCAGCAACAGCAGCAACAACGGTGCAAATGCCTTTTAATTTGTCAAAGCCTAAAATATGAAAATTAAATGAGAAACCAAACCAGTGCAATGCACAGTGGGGCAAGGTGTGCAAATTTTGAAGCGAACTTTGAGAACAAACATAAATATTATTTGAATATAAAGAGACATAAACATAACTTAATATACATAACTTAGCACGAATATGGTAAAGTATAAATGAAAGGATTAAGAAAAGAAAATTTCAATATTTATAATTATTAATTCATGTGGGACAGTTTAGTGGAGAACAATAACTAACCCGAGTTAAGCTGCAGCCTACTATAACTATAAGTAAAACCCAAGGCAAATAAGATTTCCATTTCGCCTCACTAGTCTCACTTAATCATTTTTATAAAGAGCTTCAAAGTTATGTAATGTTTCTTTTATAGATCCTCGTCAGGTCTTACGTTTAAAGAGCTTCTAGCTAATCTGAAACTACTTGCGAATTATACGCAAAAACTGAAAAACTAACGTCTTTGTCATCCAATGCTGTTTATTATAGAAAAAGTATTAACTCCCTTAACTCCACAAATTAGGTCAACAGCTAATTTTGGCTACATTCCATTCGATCAGTTCATGGTGTGCGATAAGTTTAGGGTTTTGCCCAAAAGCAAATGGATCACAGATGCTTATCTTGGCCCAATGTGCGCCGGAATGCGATCGACTCGCAGTCGCATTTCGGGTGTGTGGGTGCAATTTGCAAGCGCACATAAATCAGCTGACAAGTGCGGGGGCATTTGTGGCCAGGGTATTGAGTTACATACTTATGTATGCAATGGCACCGTCGAGCACCTGGCATTTATATGCGGCACAGGTGGCGGTGCATTTGAGAGGGCGACGGGCGCAGAGATGCGGAATTTCTGCAGACGCTGCAATGTGTCGCATTTATAACAAAAAAAAAAAACAAAAATTGTCGCACGCGAAAGTGCCGGGACGGAAATTTATGGGGCAACTGGTTAAACCAGCCACGCCCACCCCCAAACGGACATGATGTGATGTGTGTGGGCCACTGTGGCTGCTGCTGCTGCTGCTGTCGCCAAATTAATCAAACGGCATTATTATGCAAAAAATAAAAGAGCTTCGCAGTTCCTGAACCAGTTTTCAAGGTTTCGTCAAGCGTTTAAACTGCAATTAACCCATATCTGAAATGTATATATAAAAATATTGTATATTTATGTGCGCAAATTTGTCAATTTTTGTTCGCAGCGAACAGCGAGTCGCAGCCGGAGCCGTCGTCGCCGATGGAGACGGAGACAGAGACGGAACTGTTGCCGCCCAACTCGATCAGCGAATTGCCCGAGAAACTGTTGAACAGCGGCGTCTATTTGCCAGGTAAATATCTATATATACATATATATATATATATATATCTAGACTTTCCATTTTGCCGCGCTGCTGTGCATAATTCTAGACTTTCGCTAGAAACGAGTCGAACCGAAATTTGGCTTATAAATATAAATTGGAAAATTCGAATCACCTGGCAACGCCCCGTCAGGCAATTTGCCTGCCAGCCGATTGGGTGAAATGCGCTTTTCAATGCGAACTGAAAGCCACAATTCCGACTGCGATTCAATTCAATTAATTCACACACTTTTTCGCACATTAACGCTGTGTCGACCACCCAGAGAGCAATTGAGATTCAGATTCGATTTGCATCTATTCGCAGGCACACGCACCCTCCAAGGCGACCCACTTGTCCATGTGGATGCGGACGCTGTTGCCGGCGCGGGCCTCAATTGCTATGAGCTGGCCACACTGTTGCTTTACTACAGCACCATACCGGAGCGCAGGTGAGTTCAATTGTGGGTGGTTAGCTGGTGTAGGGGGAGGGGCATTGCCTCAATCAGAATCGGCCAGTTTAATGTCAAATGCAAAACGCATGGGAATGGGCACAGCGCGCGCAGCTGTGTTTGTGTGTGCCCCGCACTTCAGTCCAGGCATTTCAATTTGTACCTCGTCGCCGGGGCATGCAACAGGAAAAAAAAGATCTAAGTTCATAGACTCACAAGCAGCCCATCCATATTTACGAGCAGATATGCAAATGTGCAGTTAAAGACTGCCCAAGAGCCCCAACTGGCGCTGGGAACGACTAAGACCAAGACGGCGCTGCACTTAAGCTGCACTAAGATGTTCTAGCCGGGCACGGGAGACTCTCTTTTTGCCCGGTGAAGCCATCTCCTTCGCACCCCCCTCTCTCTGTCTCTCTCCCGCTCGCTCAGTCGTCTGGCTGTCTGGCAATCAGGCAGTCGAACTCATTGCCGCTTAAGAATATGCATGCCAGTCAATTTGCCACTTTGGCTAAAAGGAAACATGCAACAACAGCAACAACAACAACAACAGCAACAAAAACATCGAACAGCACTTGCATTCAATGCTGAGAACTTTGCCATAGAAAATAGAACAAAAGCTTCAGCTTTAAGTCGATAACACTATGCAACAAATCTGAAAACCAAGTAAATAGTAAGAAGAAGTTGTCTAAGCAGCTAAAGAAATGGCATTTGGATTTGAAGCTTAGATTAAAGTTGTTTCTTTAAAATGTGTGGGTTGCAAAATCAGAAAAGTCGCTGGTTCAAACTTACTGACCCAGCTTCAGCTTATGCTTGTTTGAAGCCTTGCTTTGTCATATATTAATATTATTTAAACTTTTATTTTTATAGCTGCCCGTTCTACTGAAGATATCGCAATCCGTAGATATTTTCATATAGAAGTTGCGGGCTAAATTCGATCAGTACCCAAAATTTGCAGCTAACAAATATTGTTAGATAAATGCAATGGTTGGGTTAATTATACTTTAGGCAGAGTCTGCTTAAAAAGTTTTGAGTCTTAATCTAAACGATTTTTAAAGATAGAGTTAACATTTCTACCATTGACTAAACCTCCTGAATTTCACATGTTACATAGATATTTTTAAGATTAAATAGATGTAGATATAATATATATTATATTATATTAGTACTTGCATTGATTAGATTAAAGGCACTTTTTTATTATGTGACCCACATTAGAATAATTTCGTAATATTTCAATATTCAGCTATTTTTTGGTGACCCACTTATCAGAATAGTTGATTAAACTTGGGCCCACCCTCAGCTTTGTTGTCTAGTGTAGCTTAGAATTCTAGTTTGGCTGGCAGGCAGGCAACATTTGCGGGCTCTACTAAAGCATGGCAGACACGTCGCTTGAGGGACTCGGCGATTGCGGCTTCCCTTTGTAGCGAGCGCAAGAAGGAGACAAATGCAGAGCAGAAGTGACAGAGAGAGAGAGGGGAAGAGATAGAGAGAGAGAGAGAGCGAGAGAGAGAGGGGAGAGGGAGAGGAAGCTGCTGCTGCAGGCATATGAATGATCTTTCAGACAGATTCGTGACACTTTGAATTTATGATGTGAACTTTTGTGGCCCAGCGTTGAATGCTTGTTGTGTTGGCTTCTCCACCACGATTCCTGGAAATATCACAGCACAATCTGTGAGATCTAAATCGACATGCGAGAGAGAGACCGAGAGAGAGAGAGAGAGAGAGAGAGAGAGAGAGAGAGAGAGAGAGAGAGAGGGAGAGGGAGAGGTAGAACACACACTCGTTGGCCACTTACGACATTCCCCCCGTTCAAGCATTCCCCATTTCCCATGATTACACTTCTGATTCGGCTTCAGCTTCTAATTCCTGCTGTAGAATCCCGTTTTCAGCTTGAGCTCCAGCTGCATGTTAATTGCTTCAATGCCAATTGCTAAAATGCGGCCAAATCGTGTAGAAAACTTTGACAAACATTTGCGTTGATTATTCGTACTCAAACTGCGCTCCCAAAAACTGGCACAACTCGTCATCAGACGTGCGTCCGACGTGAATGACTTGAGGCTTTGGACTTGGACAGCCACTCACACTTGGTGTGCCATCTTCCTCCGCCCCCTCCCCGCACTACACCTGGCCAGCACGCAGAGCGCATCCATTGACATTATTTGCGTTTGTTTGTCGACATGTGTAAGGTATTCATTAGCTTGGTTGTCCAAATCCAAATGCCAGTCGACTGTGCACGCAAATATTAAATATTTGAGCTGTGTAAAGTTTTCACCAAGAGAGACCCAGACCCAGACTCGGAGTTAAACTTAGACTGGGCGCAGTGTCAACAGCAAACTTCATTTGTTTTTGTTGTCTTTGGCAACTTGTCGCTTATCCAAAACTTACATCATCCACGATGGCCCCTCCTTTCCCCCTCTTCCTCTGGCTCTCTGACAATGATCCATCTCTATGCAGGCTTGTGTGTGACAGCTTGCTGCAATTAAATTTGTTTTTATGGGGCTGCACTTCTGGGAATCTTTAAATGCCGCCTGTTACGAGTGCCAAAGGTATTAATATGCATGCCTGCGCATAATACAAATATAAAGAAAGCTCGGGTTACACACGAACGACCCGGACTAGGACTGCACTCATATTTTATTGCACTCGCCTCAGGCGAAGTACACTGAAATATTTATAACATTTGTTTCTGTTAAGTATAACAAAGCTGCCCTCAGGAAACTTAACATTTCGATTTAAAATAGTAACAGCTCTTTTAATAACATTGCCTAACTATATTAAGCTGAAGTATGTGCAGTAATAACAGACTTAATGAATGCACAACATTTGATTAACAGCGCAAGATCACAAAACATGTACATAACATAGTATGTATAAACTTAATATACAGCTGTTAAAATGTCCCACAAATGTAGATATAAGAAAGATTAGAATAACAGAAGAATATATTGGTCACGCCATAAAGGTCCTTTAATAACATTAATCTGTTATGTTAAACATATTTAACAGAATTTATCCCACAAATATGTTAGTTAAATACAGTTGTTAATCTTAGCTTTACGAGACTGAAAGTTGATAGATTTAATAGTTCGTATCTTTAAATTGAACAAAAGCCTAAGTTGCTCTAGAAAAAGATAGATAAATTTAACATAGTGATCAATATGATAATTTGTAAGAATTCAGATGCATAACTAGTTTATAGAGCATTGCAAATTCGTTGTAAATTTCGCAGTTGGATGTGGCTGGCAGCTAAGTTCATGTGTAGGCTGCTTTAAAATTGAAATGCCAAACGCTTTTGATGGCCGTGCTGTGTGCGGCATCATTAAGCCCGAGACATGCCAGCGCTGATGATGAAGCTTGAGACTTGCAACCCGCAGCTTTGGCCGCTTGCCACTTGCAGCGCGACCCGCCGCATGCGCATTGCGTGCAAATATCAACTGAAATGCGGACTCCTGACGGGGGTGGACCGCGCGCGCGCACTGAGCTCTGTGAGAACAAAACTGGCTAACCAGACGTTGGCATGCATTTACAGTTAGTGCTGCAACAGGTAGGCAGGCGGGAGCAGGGGGGTCGGCAACTATGCGCAGCTGGATAAAACTTTGGCTAAAGTGTTAAGAAGTGCCTGTTGGGCTTTTTATTAATAGGCTAGCTGCCATTAGCGGCAATTTTCAATTTTTATTTACGCTGATTAAAAGTGGCTACCAACTTGTCATATTTACAACTGGCCGCAGCTTGATACACTCAAAGGTACAGACTTTGTGGCAGCAGCAGCAGCAGCAGCAACAGCTCCACAGGCGAGCATCTAGTTGTGGGCCGTGCTGTGGCCAAGTGGCAGAGGCCGCTTATTGCCAATTAAGCTGAACTTGTTTTGGGCGTTGCCAGCATTGGGTACTGCGCGCCGGCAACCAGCAACCTGCCACATTCACAATTTACACCACACACAGCCGCAACAACACACTTGACGTTGTTTATGGGCGCCTGACCGTGCACTTCTTACGGAGACTCATTGCCTTTTAACTTATGTATTTGCAGCATTGCCCATAAAAGTGCACAACAGCAACAGTTGCAGTTGCAGTCGGAGCAGCAGCAGCAGCAGCAGCAGCAGCAACAACAACTGAAACCCGCCCAGCAAACATTTACCATTTTAATTGCCATCGAGAAGTCGCAACATTTATGCGTAATCGACTTAATTTGCCAAAGCCTCAAATTGTTAAGCAAGCAAATTGGCAATTGTGAAATCTTGGCCGTTTGCCTCGATGCGAATTTGCTGCAATTGTGCAACCAGCAGCAGCAACAGCAGCAGCAGAACAGCAGCAATAGCTGTGATCAAACGGTAAGTTCAGGCTTTGACCTTTGCGATTGCAGCACACAAAATGAAATCATTAGGAGGGCCGCCGTCTGCCTGGGCTGACGCCCCACAGCAGACACAGACACCCAATTAAACCGCTTTACACGGCCCAAGAGCCACAGATTCTGGCCACTAATGACGGCTTTACGTTTTTCTGACCTCCTCCTCCCCCACTCTACTAAAACATACAGGAGCAGTCGCAGCAGCAGTCGCAGTCCCAGTTGCAGTCGCAGCCATCGCATTTGGTTAAATTCATTAGCGTGGACCAAGTCACGACAAGTGTTGCGCCACCGCATTTGCCGAGCGGCGCGCTCCGGGGCCAGCATCATCACGACGCGCGCAAGTGGCGCGAGTTCTTTGCCCAGCTGGAGGCGTTCCAGCGTCAATGTTCGGCGGCCGGCGGTCGTCTGGTTGGCGCTTTGAGCGACATACGCGCCGCCGACTTGTTGGGTCTGCCAACGCGCCGTCAGCTTTATGGCCAGCATCGTGCCCTCAGCCGTGCCCTTATGGACTCGCAGCTGCACAATCTGCGCAAGCACGGCGCCACCCAGCTGGTGCGCCTCCAGGCGGCGGCCAGTGCTATCAATGCGCCGCCAGCCACAGTTGCGCCCGCGCCAGCTGCTGCTCCAGATCCAAGTGCCTACCATCTGGACGCGGACCATAAGCTGCGTAAGGTGACGCTGCTCTACAGCGAGGTGGATCGTGCTGCACAGCGTCTCGAGCAGCTCACGGAGCAGCGACGCGAGCGCCTGCGCCAACTGACGCGGCAGCGCGCCCTGGAGGATGAGATCAACGAGGTGAGTGTGTTCTGTGCTCTTTTTATTACATTTCCAATATATCGAGAGTTTATGCCTCGTTAAGTTTTGAATGTGTTCCGAAGAGGGATTACTCAGGCGCCAATTAAAAGCATTGCTCAAATATTCCTGCCAAACTTTCCTTCACCTCGGGCAGTCTCTAAGACTCTTTTAAAACTGTTTGAGAATTCTAAATGCTTTATTCATTCAATATAGCTCTTATCGATTAATCTTGATGTCTTCTCTAAGTGGCCAAATCTTTAATCTAATCCGAATTCCAGGAACACAATATTTTTATGAAAATGCATAAGTTTTATACCAATAATCTGATACCAACACTTGATTCCCTATAGATAATATTATTTTGCAGATCTCTTGAGGATAGGATGTTAAAACTGTTAGGGAATTATAATCATCTCCTAACATATCTTCAACTGTGCCACAATGTTAAAACTGTTTGGGAATTGTAATTTTTGCATTCATGTTCTTCTTCTTCTGTTTGAAATAAGAAATTGTAATATAAAAATTACTTCTCTTATGTTTTCGAATTGAACCCCGAATTTAATATGTAGAAAACTTTATTTTAAATACCTATTTGTATTAAAACATTTTGTTAATTGTAATTTTTCTGTTGAAATTTCTCATTCCTTTATTTTGTCCACTTCTTGAACATAACCTCAAATTAATTCTAATTAATTTTGTTATATTTTTCTTCTGAAACCAAGAAAAAATTTCTTTTTGTCGTCAATTGATATGCTCGAAACGTACCAGGCTCGATGTTTGGTGTCGTATGTGATGATAATAACAAAGTTAAAGAAAGAAGGCGGAGGCGCCAAACATTGTATTAGGGGAAGATGGTAGGGGGAGGGGGATGGGGAGGGGGAGTATCTGTTGACAGGAAATGCGCGCAAGCACATTCGAAATGCCAAATGTATCTGACAGATACGCGGTGCGCAGTCGGGCGACATTGTTAATTGAATATGCATTGCATTTAATGCTGGCTTTATTAATTTATTACGCGCATCCGCTTAATGTGCGCACAACGGGTTCGCCTTGGTAGCCAAACGGAGTCGGTCAGCCAAATGGAGTCGTTAGATAAGCCTGCCAAGATGCGCATCACAGATGCAGTTGCCAGTGGCAGTTGCCACTTGCCAGTTGCCAGTTTCCAGTTGGTAGTTGGTAGTTGGCAGTTGCAATCGTTGTCGTCCTCGTTGCCAATTCCATTTCCTGGCATTTTAATTGACTTGTTAATGGATATGCCTGCTGCCGGCTACCAAGGGCCGCCTGGCCAAATGAATGACTATGCATGATCTCGCGTCTCGCGCCGGCTGCTACCTTTAACCCAAGTGCCAGGCCATATGCCCGGCTGCATAATTGAGCACGCACGCACCCACAACTGGCTGCTGGCGGAGAGGAGCTCCAGCTTATCTGGCCAGGGTAATCTTCGGCTTCAGCTTCGCTTAATCAGCGCCAGTGACAGTTGCAGCAACGCCCAAATGCGCCGCAGACTCCGCTAATGCAATTTCGCTGATTAATCACAATAATTTGTTGTGGGATTAGTTGGCGCAGTCATAAAGGAAGCTGCAGCAACTGCAACTGCAACTGCAGCGACTACTCGGATGCGTTTACATATTCGTCATACTTTCGCGCTACTATTAAGTTTTTGCCATTATTATTATGATTGTTGCATGTGTTGTTGTTGCTGTTGCTGTTGCTGTTGTTGTTGCTGGCCAACAAAAGTATGTCAAATTGGAAACACACGACACGCAGATACGCAGATACTTGTGCTTGTATCTCATAGATAAACGGCTCCTGCATCTTCAATTTCATTTAATAATTTACGGAAATTGGCATTTAAAAATTTGCTGTGCCTTGTTAACGTATCTGCCTGGCCTCCAGCCTTCAGTTTTCGCTTTACTGTTTACAGTATTCGAACATTTTTCACACGCTCCTCCGCTTTTTGAGCAATGTGCAGCAATTTATCAAAAACAAAAATAATAAACTTGGCTTTGGCCAAAAATTGAATTTTAATTGCCGACGAAAAGTTAATGAGAAAAGTGAAAGCAAGGTTAAAGAAATTAAATACGTTTCTTGCGCGATTTTCAATCGATTTGTTTATATATATATATATATATTTTTATTTTTTTTTGTTATTTTGTTTTTTTGCTAACTGGAGCTGTCCGGCTGCCCATTGATTGCTTCATTGATGGCTTCAGCTGGCAGCTCGCGGTTCGCGCATTTCATTAGTTCGCTTCATTCAAAAGTAGTTCCCCGATAAAGACTGTCTCTCTGACTGGCTGTCTGTCCATCTGTCTGTCTGTCTGTTCAACTGACTAACTGACTGGGCTGCCTCTCAATCGATCTGTCGCTCTCTGTCATACCGTATGTCTGTCATATCGCGATCGCCGCAAAAATCATACTAACAGATACTAAAAGCTGGAGAAATAGCAAAAACATTTAACACCACAACACACGCTTTCAATTAAAAGCTGTTGACATCTACTCCAATTTTTGGGCTTTGCTTTCGCATTTGAAATGCTCTAACTTTAGTGCAGAGTATTGTTAGTTTGTCGTCACAAATCACACGACAGGCAGCCAAAACAATTGCCGTGGGAAGACGCTGCTGGACTCTGGAAGGCAGCACACTTCTCTAGAAAGTTGCCTCTATCTTAAGCTCTAATCAGTTAGTTCAGATATTTTAGAAATTAAACAAGTTAAATGCTTTAAAGGCTCTTGAACTTTGCGCTGCTTGACATATTGTTGACATATTTTGGAAGTTTAGTGTATTTATTAACTTCTGAGGTTCTTGTTGGCGCCGATGCGGAGATCTTCATGTTATAACTGATATTTAGTTGTATATGCTGATCTTTTATCATTAAATGTTACTTATATTCAATTTTGCATATTTGGTTTTACCAGGAAAGGCATTTTTGTAGCCCAAATAAGGCTCCGCCAGATAACGTCAGTTTTTTCTGTTGGCGCCCGAGCAGAGTTCTTGATGTTCTAACTGATCATTTTTTGCATATGCTGGTCAAAGCAAAAAACATGTTATTTGGTATTAGTTTTTCCAGGAAAAGTCTTCTTTGTAGCCCAAACAAGGCTCCGGCAGATAAACTCAGTTTTTTTCATTGGCGCCCGAGCAGGGCTTTGTTTTTATTCATGATTATCAATTAATTGCAAACAAAATAATAAATTTAATATTAATAAATTAATATATTTTGGGCTTTGAGACAGCTGAATAAATAGTATAAGGTATATATTTGACTAATAAATAAAAGTTAAAGTTCCAAATAGTTGTTTTGTATATAATCCTCGTATGGGCAACAGCTCCAGAATTCCCAGCATTCTATTAGCCACAGACTCTAGCAGCCATGTGCTATAAGAAAGCTAGCTCTAATATCTTATAAATTAATACTCTTCTAACAATTATGATAATAATATCCATCATGATCATAAAAGTATCAGTCAAATGCACTTAAAGCTCTTGACAGTGTCGACAATTTATGATCATGATAGATATTATTATCATAATTGTTAGAAAAGTATACATTTATAAGATATTAGAGCTAGATTTTATATAGTAAATAAAACTAAGCTTACATTTATTTATAGCTATAAATACCTTATAAAGATACGCTCTACTCTGATGTCAAGTGCATATTGCAGCAGTTGTTATGCGATATTTATTTATATGTTGCTTCGTTAATTTATGCCCAAGAAGTGTATTAAATCTTCGCTAGCCTTGTTTTGCTTAATTAAATCAATATATTTATGTAGTTAGCTAACAAACCGCAACTAAACAGAGCTTCAACTGCTTAACCAATGCCAAATCCGAAGCCCAATCCAAGTCCGAGTCCGAGTCCGAGTCCGAATGTGAATGCAGCTCTGTCACCTAACAAATGTCGCTGTCGTCCATTAGGCGCGCATTCAAACAAGGTGCGAAAAAAGATGCCGCCGTCGCCATTTTGTTGCACTGCAACAACAACAACAACAACAACAGCGACAATGACGACAACGACGACAGCGACAACGACAACGACAACTACGACGACAACAACGACGACATTATGATGCGATATGCGATATTATATCTAAATTGTTGATCGGCTGCATTAGTTGCGCGGGCTGCGGGATGGACTTTAGCTCCAGTTATGGCCACAAGTGTTGACTGGGTGTGTATCGGTGTGTGTGTGTGTGTGTGTGTGTGTCTGTGTGTAGCCTTGGGTGTTGCTGCTGCTGCTGGTTGGTGAAAGAGTTGACGCGTCTTGGCCGATAGCTGCCTGCAGATAGAGATAAAATACACAAGCGCTGGCGGTGAAATTGGATTTGTTTGGGGCGCTTTCTTTGAGCGTTTGCCCGTTTATTTCTATTTATTTTTATATTTTTTTTCAAATTAATTTGCGCGCTGTCGGCAGCTTTTGTGCAATGAAAACTATGTTTAATTGTTTCGCGCCTTGCATTGCAGCAGCAGCAGCAGCAGCAGTGGCAGCAGCAGTGGCAGCTCCAAGGAGCTGCTGACTGACCAGGGACAAGTTTTGGCTTGGTTTGGCGGAAGCAACGCCTCGCTTATTTATGGCCTTTGACATACGAACCCGGGGTCCTCGTAGCGCACAGGAATGCGGTGGCAGAGTTGGCTACTTGCATAACTGCAGCTGCAGCATTTGAGAACTGGCTGGCATAGAATTCGGTCAGCGGCCAAAACTGGCCATGAAATATGAAGGCTTATTTAGTGTCGACATGCTAAAGGAGGAGAGAAGACTCCCAGATCCATTCACAGTGGCATTAATAATAGCTGCGTGTATTAACCCCCACAGCAGACCCGGCCATGGGCAACCGGTTGATGCATGCAAATTCGCCACGCGAACAAACAATGCCTCATGCTGCAACCTGGCTGCCAGCACAGCTGCAACTTTATCTGCGGCTCCTTCAGCTGCGACTGATGCGACTGATGCTCCAAGTGCCTCAACTGCTGCTGCTGCTCCTCCTGCTGCTGCGGCTCTGGC